TAAATATTATATCACGTAGCCAGTATTACATTTGCTCATCTTCTGTGGACCTGAAGCAAGTCGAGAAAGACAAGAGCCACAGACACTTTTGCAAAAATCCGGAATGAGAAATTGACAAATGTTTATAATTTACGCACAAATGACTTTTCCTGCATTTCATGGCACAATACGTTTCCCCTTGGTTTGATATTTAATTTTAATAGACATCTTTGCACATTGTTATAGCCTTGCCTGCTATAGTTTATTATTTCTAGACAGTCCCATTCTAAACATGACATTCAAATTAATAGTTTAGTTTGGGATTGTTTCACTTAACTTTCAGACCAATCGAATACCACCATTAATCAAAATTAACAAAAACAAGATAAGTGCTCTCTCCCTGTCTCAATTTACATCTATCAATTAAGTAATAACACTACTGTTCTTGGTAAATTTATTCGGATGTCTGAAACACATATCTGGTAGTGATGGCAACAGGATTATATGTTATATACAATATGTTCACATTGATCTCAATCAAAATCACACATAACTAAACAAATAACTAAATAAATAAAAATAAGTATAATAATGCATAATTAGTTCTGAATGCATACAAACCCTGTTTATGATTATTTACCATTCATCATTGTTTTCCTGCAATAAATTACTAATACTCTTAAATAAATCTTTAAACACTAACCTTATAGTGGACACCTCATTCATTAGGAATATAATTGCTCTAAAAGTCATTATCCTCCCTTTCCCCTTGAGGAAGACAAAATGACACGATTTGTTATGTCTGCATGCAGAATTGATCAAACATTTCAATGCCTCAATGCCAATGAGTAATAGTTGCAATGGAATTACCAATATTGCAGGAGATCCTATTAGCCTGAAGATACATCTAGGACATGCAGCACTAAATCAGTTAAAACGTAATGTTATATGTTTAAACAAACCTTCAGATAGCTGATATTTTTTGGCCCCGAGACAGTATTTATCACCTGGCTTTGGAAAAGCACAAACTCAAATCACATTTATTATAGCGAGCTACACAAAAAGAATAGTGACCTTACTTTTGTTTCTGCAGAATATGAGGCATGTAACCATACAAACAGGCTCAGTGTGAAATTTACATGTTTACAGATATAGAAGTGTGTTCCCTAATATTCCCACTGAGCAGTGATAATGCATGCTATTCATTGTGCACTAGAAAGAAAAAAAACAAGACTCACCTAATCTATATATACTGTAAGCACTAACAGGACAGACAGACTCACTTGTTATTTCAAGGATCTGACATTAACCACTGGCTTAAACCTGATCTTTAAAAAAATAGATCTAAACATGGTGGCATTTACGGTTTCCTATCAACTCGGACATCATTCACTCTGGCATTTGGCTAAAGAACATAAGCTATGAGAAATGAAAGCCACAAGAACAACGGTCGTCAGCGAAAATTGTCCGACACTTCCTCAAATGACAAAAGTAGTTCCCCTTTGTACAACTGTCATTGGGCACTCCCTCCACACATTCTGCATGCTTGTTGCAAAAATACTGAACTTTACCAAAATGACATCATGCGAACACATCCGCGCTGTGTACCGGTTACAGAACAAATCAAAAGCGATTAAAGTAATTGAAGAGTATTGGTTTTTAAATGACTAGGCATTTAACACTAGTCAACTGCTGAGAAATGTTCTAGAAAATCGTTTTAGAAAATCAAAATAAAAAATCGGACATTCGGAATGGTGCACCATTACTAGTAGTTAGCTTAAATCCAAAACCACTTATGTCACTTATTTAGAAACGTCACACTATTTTAGTACAACCTGGAGATCTGCCAACTTTTTGCTAGATATTTAAGTCCTATTGACTTCCCCCCAAAATAAGTGTAAACAAATTCAGTGAGCATGCCAGTCAGGCTCTTATAAGCCACATTTTGGGACCTGCTGTCAATACAGTACTGAAATCTGTTTATTTTTCTCCCTGTCAGAAACTATTCCAGTGGGCAGGACAGCTGCCGTCACAGTAGAACAGATGTGAGACAATAGTTATTGCACTGCACACATCATTTTACAAAATCATATAAACTCAGAAGTTTATATTATACTTTATATTATACTATACTTTGTCGTCACAATAATAGGGGCTGTCTGTTGGATCTGACCAACTTTGATATATCAGAGGTGGTACATGATGAAGGACACTGCTGCCCTGGGTGAAAGCCACACTGGGTTAATCCAACCCAACTCTCACACACTTCTCATAGTGACCAGGCATTATTAGCTTTAATGTTACCAATTGGCACCTTCTTAAAGAGCAAATAGCACTAGAATGTAGACCAAAAAAAAAGAAAAGACAATTATGGAATCATCGTTCCCCTCCATTTACAGTGTCAGGACTGAACAGTGTGTCTGGCTTTCTTAAGCACATTGGCTACAATGACACGGAACAATCAACAAAGGCTGAGCATGTTACAGAGACAAAAATGGCTTTCATAGAGAAAAGGAAAACTCAGAGAAACTGGCCAAAAAATGATCTTACAATTGCTGAAAAACTGTGATTGAAAACACCCTCAGTTCATTTGCTATTATACAGGAAAGCTGCTTTCAATTCTCCTGTATGGAGGCGATCCAAATTAGTTGAAGGCTTTTATAATAGTCTTAGAATATTTAATTTAGCAGTTTCTGGTGAAGACTTGTTTAGCTATATAGAGTCCTTACAGTATATCACTGCAGTACAAAAACAGCACATGTGTAACTTCATTAGTAAGGTTAATACACATGTCAGCATGTGCATGCACCAAACCTTTTAGATGGGAGAATCTCTTAGGCTTTCATATAATTGCACGCATTCCAGGGAATATGTCACGGATTTTTTTTTGCGGTAACTACGTTCCTTACCTATGGCTTTAAAATAGGATCATTTAAAATAATAAAACTGAAATGGATTATAACAAATGAACAAACAAACAAATAAAAATAAGGTAATTATATACCATGTCATACATGATAATAAATGAAAGAAATTCATTCAAATGAATTAGATGAAGTATTTATGAAGAGTGTGGGCAGCACTGTAGCTAAGAGGCGGGCACTGCTACCTCACGCCTCCATGTTGCTAGTTCAAAGCCCATGTGTGTGTGGCGCTTACATAACCTCCCAGGGTGGTCTAGTCCCAAAGACATACTAACAGTTAAGCCTATAGTATGTGTGCCTCGCAATAACCCGGCATCCTGCCGGGGGATTACCTCAGCCTCGTGTTCTATGCTGCCCAGGATAGGATATCATTTGACCCTGTCTAGCAGACCTGCAACCACTGAAAAGCCATCCCCTGCCCCACAGGACAGAGAAACTCTTTGTTGTTACTGGCTATGCTGTTGTTAAATGACATCCTGTCATTTAAAGGTTGAACTGGTCCCGCAGAGTAAATATGTCCTGACATGAACATGAGACAGAAATTAAATTAGAATAATGGCATTTCTAAGATAATGAAACAGATGACAAGAAAAGATCAGGGTAGCTGACTATATTGACAGGAATGACAAACCAAACATTCTGAGAACTGTTTACAAAACTTTCACAAACTAAGATGAAGGTTATTTTGATGAAAATAAATAGAGTTAATTTACTATACATGAACTTGTCCAGGATAAGTTAATAAATAAATATCTAATAATGTCAATTCTTTGCTTATTAAATGGAATTATTCAGGGTTTTACCTGTGATTTTGTATTTCTACTCTGTTTTTTGGCGCTCTATTAAACAAATGGATTTGAAAAATACTGGGGAGGTCAACAATAACATCGGTGATATGATCTCTTACCGTTTCATGCTATACATTACTGTATATGCATCTGTCTGTTTTGGTAGCAGAGACTTTAAGTTCTAATGTACAATCTTTAAATAAATAAGACCCACCCATCCTTTTTGGCAGGATTTCAATATGACATTTAAATTATGTGGGTGGCATTTAATATTTTAAGAAGCTATGTTTATTTCAGGGTGATGACGCATAGCTACCAACTTTGTAAAATATCTTTTTGGCCAAAGTGGCTACTAATCATTACTACCTATTTGGAAGTCCCCGAACTTGGTTGTTTGTGCAGGTTAATTTGGGCAGACAAATGTAACACAAGTGTCTCTATTTTCGGACACTCCCCGAGTCCCGTCTCTATTGTATGTAATTGCTGTAAGCTGAGGCACAACTCTCATGTGAAATCCACACTGTTCCACAGGCATACAGGCACAGTGCTGTCAATTGGAATGGCTTGAAATTAGGTTAAATGAGCTATCTACGAAACATGTGCTCCCGTTCTATTTTTATCACAAGGGATGACAGCATGAATTCCCTAGTGAGTACAGGAGTTCTTCTTGGAAAACGGTGCAGGTCGTTTCTACTACTGATATATTGCTCACAGAGGGCATACAATAGAGGCATGCTATTAAACATCTAAGGTGTCGTTTGTTTTGATCCTAAAAAAGGTACATTTATTATTATTCTTAATATTAGGTACTGTCAAGTCGATGTTGACTATACTTGCATTAGGCTAAGTCATTATGGAGCAGAAGTAAATAAGCCTATATATGTGTGTGTGTGTGTGTGTGTGTGTGAGAGTTTATGTGTGTGTTCACAAATTTCAAAGTATCTGGCACTTGAATTCTGTAGATGTGAAAAGATCTCACCCACAAACCCATTAGCCTACCTCTCTGTATCAAACTCTCGTTCTTTCTGACTGAAAAACTCCCCGCAGAGAGATTGGAATCAGCCGGAAATGACTCACTTGAATGAATGACCAATTAGGCAGAGCTATTATGTTCTCCTACTTGGATACATAGATGGTTTTTAAAAGACCTGGACAGAGAATTATTTTTAGCATGAAGGATATAGTTCAGAAATAAAGAGAAGCCAATCTAGCGGTCACCTGAAAAACAGGTACTCTAGATCATAGATTTGTCTAGGGAGATGCTTGAATTACTCTATGATAATTTAACGCATCGTCACGCTTGACTCACCAAGCAGCTGAACCCCTCTTGTCAGACCGTAAACATCAATCAGGGCCCACAGAGGTTCTATAGTCCGGACACCACTGAAGAACAGCATGGGACTGGAATCATTGATGCGGTAGAAGACACGGCCCTTCTTGTCCACCCAAAAGGCAATGATGTTGCCCTCATTGGCGAACTCCTCCGGCAGAGCTTTGGCCCAGAAGCCGCTCTGGGACACCAGGTCTGGGCAGGCGTACTTAGGCAGGCTGTCCGGGTTGATCCGCGACGGGTCCTTAGCGGTGAAGCCGAGCCGTAGTGCTCCACTCCAGCAGCACTGCTTCTTCGTAATCTGCGGAACAGGAGTCCCATTTCCGATTCATCCAAAGTGACCCCTGCAGCTTAGAATCTCCACATTTTCCTCAAGAGTACAGTTGGAAACTTTTATTGCATTCCCAACACCTTGCTCAAGGCTATGACAGCAGACTAAAGCCTGCAATGTTTTATCCCATTTCTGTAAACACTAGCTGCTGCATTAAATAGTTAAGGCAGTAAAATGTCGACTTCACTCCTCATAAATTCTTAAATGATAAACTCTGAGCAACGTTTCTCCTGAGTGAAATATTTTAGCCAACCTTCAAATTTTATTTTTTTTTCGCTTTGTTTTTGTTAATTTAGAGATTGCAATTCTGAGCCCATGTACTGTAGCTAGAAACGTTTTGGGAAGCCTTCCCCAAAACCCGAGAACGGTTAGGACTTTGAAGCTTCACTGAACATTAAATGGCTATGAACCATCTGCAGTCATCTTTTAAACTGATTTTAATCCTGCAATCAGTCAGCTGAACATAGACTGCATTAATGTATATAATGTTCCTTTCATGACATGCTAAAAGTGTCATGATTGCTTTATGACGGTAATAGCTATATAACATAGTCAGACTGTCTTCGTCTTAATAAAATGCAAATTATTAATAGTGTCAACCAGCTGCTACTGAAGAAACAATTTTTCATAAAAATCTTTTGTGGTAATTGATTTAGGAGACAGTTGAAATGACTGTAATACAAGTGAGGGAAAAAAGCAATAAAATATAATTAGTCTCTGGAAAGTTTGTTTTCTCATCAGAATTTGTAAAACCGAAAACCAAACTGTCTGGTTACTATTAATAAAATATCAATCTATTGAAGTGTTACTCCAGTGGTGACGGGATTTAACATTTCAAACAAATATAGGGCTACTGATAAATAACCTTAACAACTTTGGCTGATACATCACAGAATATAAAGTCTTTGAGAACTTTGGGAACCTGACATTGTAACTGTTGCCTTTTACAACAATAAGATTAATTCTAATTCAAGATTATCTTTCCAGTTTCTAGAGATCAAACAGGGTCCAATAAATTAAACTTCAAACATAAGAAGTTTTTGATAGAGACCTGCCTTTGCAACAGTGGACCATCTCTCTGGTTTTTATTACTTAATTTTTCTTAGATCAGTCTTTATTTTGCAAATTATGGCACTGGAAATACTTTTCTATTTGGTTAAACCTTTTTTTTAAAAAAAAAAAAAACTTGGAATCACAGTCACTGAGACTGGAAACTAGATAATTAATGACTATAATAAATCAAAATAAATTAAATGAAATTACAACAAGGTAATGGTCACAAAAAACTAAATAGTCAAAATAGTAAATTAACGGTACGTAGATTTGCTATTCTTCGCATGTGTTGAAGCTGAAACGAGATTTTTGTTAGGAGAATACCTCTTTGTTATGGTTTAACACTTTTTATTTACACAAAGGAAACCTTAATGATAAGCACAGGATCTGGTTTCAGAACATGCTGAAAAACAAAGCCCTTATATGGGACTCCAATACGTATCTGTTTAAGGTTGTTCATTAAACAACCAACACTGCACACAAACGTACAGAATACTTATGTGTCTTAAGTACAGAGTGAAACCACCGTAACTGGTATTCCGGGTGTAATGACGACTATTCCTGCTCAAACCACTTAGATAGTGTTTACCCAGTACTTTCCAGCAGGACAGACATGAACATAGAAAGTTGCAAAGCTCCTTTAGCCCAAGTAGGGAATGACCAGAACACTTTGGTGACTAACAGACAGGTGGCTGGATTTACACACTGATCTCATTAATGGTTTCCCTTTATTGGTTTCCGGTGACCTACCTTTAGCCTGACCTGCTCGTACTGGGCAATAGGCCGGTTGCTGAAGGTAATGGCATTGCAGAAGCTGGCCTGCCTCTTCACCGCCTTGTGAGCCAGGTCCATGATGATCTGCGAGCCCTTGGCGTTGGGGTGGAAGAGGAGCGGGCTGATGGGGAAGCCGCTGCACTGCTGGGCGGGCAGACAGCGCTTGGGCTTGTGGTGACATCGCTGAGAGGTGGGTGGGAAGGAGCCGCCCAGAGAATCTAGGGATTGACGAAGACAGGCAAAGTCAGCTCATCTGAAACATGTCATGAGTAGACACTACAACACAGTGGCCTGAGCTGATTTTAATCTACTGCCTCCCAGCTCCAGAGACTGAAATAATAACTGAAGATGATGACTTCAATATAGTCATGCAACAGAGACAGGTATTTGGAATGCCTGTTATGCTGGAACAAGGAGAAAATTCCTTTTGAGCATGATTTCAGTGTAATTATTTGCCATTCACAACAAACACCTTTTAACTGTTTTGATCTAAAAGTTTTAGAGGATGAGGCTTTTCTTTCGGAGTTTCTTTAGGAGATATAATTACATTCCTATCAGGGGGAATTTGAGGTGGCCCACAGAAGGTAGTGATGGCAAAGCCAACTCACATTATTTTCTCTTAGAAGGAACTGCAGCTGTGAAATGACTTGAGAAAATCCCCTGCGCCGATTTCCCCTCTTAACTTCTGCTCGTTGATAACTGCCCGGCCCACAAATGCAAACAGTACTACCAGGTTTGTTAAGAAGAAACATGTGTACATTTCTGTTTCAGAATTAATAAAAATTTGAAAAAAAACTGATCATGGGGTCACCTGAGTTTTTATTATTTTTTAATTTTTTAAATATTTGTATACAAAAGATCAAAGCAGGGCATTTACCAGTTGGAAGTGTTCAGACTTTAAGTTTCGTGGTGCATAAATGATTTTACATAGAGTGGGGTATTTTTTGCCCTGAAGTTCTTGGGGATTGATGGATCATTGTCAGCGTTATTTTGACTTGCCTGCAGGTTTAACAGCACAGTCTTATGTTCATGCATTATTAAGGTTAATCGAGGGTAAGGAGACTGTTGATTAGTCATACAACTACTTTAAGATAATAGGCGACATAATTAAATTAATTGCTACAATCCATATGACAAGGAATATTTTACTTTAAATCGTGTTTTTAAATTAATTTTAACCAAAATTTTTATTGTATACAATATCTGTTAAACATCATGTCAATAACCTGGTATCCTAACTTGTATATAAACCATAAAACAACCACAAGTTTAACTCATAGAAATGTTCATTTAATTACCACTCTGAGTTATGTTTTTATGCACAGTACAGTGGTGAGTTACAGTGCTTTCACGAATCGTATGCATACACACCAGTCACAGGTACACCGTGATCTCACACAAACTACGGTCACACATGCACCACAATCTCACATAACATGTACTTTGTTCCAAGCAGATAAAATATATTTACTCTAAGAGTTTTTTTTCCCCTCAGGGCAACCAAACAGGGAGCAAATCACATTCGTATCCAGGATGCTTTTCTCTGGTCTTTTATCAAATGCAGACATATTTCCAAATCAAATCCGTGGCCACATATCAAGCAGAGAGGAGCTTAGAGAGAGTATGAGAAAATGAAGTCCTTTCGGAGGCATTCGTCGAAACTTTCAAACAAGGCAGGGGAACAAAGCACCCTCTGTCAGGAAGCCGTGCTAAAATCACTCAACGTAAAGTCTACACTGTGAATGAAACAATCATATTAAGATGCCGAAATCATGTCCGACCTGTTAGCCATTATTTATTTATGATTATATTTAAACAATTACTTCCAAGCTCAGCATACCGATTTAGCTACGTGGCCGTCCAAACTGATAGTTGACGTGTTGTCTTGAGATGCACACTGCTGGTCAGGTTTTGGCATATATACGGCTTTCTCGATTAGGAATATGCACGCGCTTTGGTACAAGTTTTCACAGCGTGCCTTGAGCATTAGTGTGAGAGCCGCTTGGCGTATACTTGTCGTTGGATAGCGGCCTCCCTGAAGAGATCACACCTGGCCTTCAGGGCAGGCTGCTGATTCCCATCTGGATGTCATAAACAAAAAAATAGCAGGCGAAAGAGGCAGAGGTGCGATGACACGAGCAGCTTCAGATGAGTTATTAATGTTTGTCGGTCTTTAAATATTATTTATAAAACTGGTCCTGTGAGTTTTCCAAAGCTGTCTAAGGATGGTTTTTAAAAAATCTCTTCAACTTACTGCCGCAGCTTCAATCAATTTACTTATATAACGTTTAAGCTAGAAAAACTTTAGCTGGCATACTACAGATAAGATTCAATGCAATTGAACAAACAAGCAAAATTTTTTCGGTAGGTCATAACAACTTCGCTAGGAAATGCAGAGCCACACTTTTTCTAACATATTACCCCAGCCAGGGTGATCTGGAACCTATCCAAGACAGCATCGAGCTGGGGTACATCCTGGATAGATATCGCTGCATCGCAGGCTAAACTAGATTATATTCTATGGGCAAATTTGCATATTGTTTCCCAACCCATTCCTTGTGCTGCGGACCCACAGCGGTCCACGTTTTCGCTCCCTCCCAGCTCCCTGCCTGACCATCCACATTTTTGCTTCCTCCCAGTTCCCGGAGCAAAAATGTGGACTGTTTGTGGGCACCTGAGGACCAAATTGGGAAACACAGATTTAGAGATATTAAATGGCTTAAATAAATGGGCTCCAGGAGGAAACTCTCTTAACACAGGGAGAATATGCAAACTACACCCACACAAAGAGGAGGCAGAACTATAACCGTCATGAAGCTATGAAAGAACAGTACTGCCCACTCCACTACCATGTCGCTCTCGCTCCACACACGTGCTCATTATTCTTCACAACATTACTTATTTGTTAAACAAAAATTATAGGAATCTTAAATTCTCTCCTTCCAAGAAAAAAAGATCTGTTATCAATTTTCGCTGACTGGTGATCTGGAATTCCCTCTGATTTCTGACAAAAAGCAAGCTTTCTTCTGCTTAACACATTCTGTGAAACTTGTGAGTTAGAAGAACTAACACCAGACCTAGCTGCAAGAAAAAAAAATCACCAGGAAAATGTCAGTGTCACTAAATAAAGGCATGTCTTTTGTTTACAATCCTATTGTGTCTGTGGACAATATTTCATTACTGTTGGAGTTGGACCCTGTCGTGAAAGCAAACCGAACACAACAGGACCCCTCACTAACTCGACTGGCGTCACATTAGTATCTATCCAGTAATGGACTCAGGTTGAAAAGGGCTAAAGTTACTTCATTTCTTTTTCAGCTCATTTGTGGAAGAGGCTTTTAATGGGCTCTGACAGAGGACACCAAAAGCAATAATGCATCATCTTCAGAGTGACACCCTCAAAGACCTTAATTACAGACGACACACATATTTGTAAGAAACTGCATTAAGGCATATTTTTTCAATTAAGCATGTACTATTGACAAGGCAGTACCTCAGGCAACCCGGGAAGAGTACAAATGTAAACAATAAACTTACACATGTAGACTATAATCTAAAAGACATTATATATGAAATAATGGCTCATTGAGACTGAACATGTGGTACACATTCTGCTCACTTTTTGATAATGAAGATTCCTTATTTCTACAAACTTTCTATAAACTGGCTCCTGCTGACATGCAGTGCGGTAGCCATGGAAACTGAACATGTGACCAAGCAGAAAACTGCAGCTTCACTACTGTCATGCATCTGAACAACATACCTGTATTTGCTTTCCATTTCCACCACTATATTATGTACCTGAAGGCGTAAATGTCACCCAGGTTAAGGGTGGTATCTACACAATAGGCTAAAAGTAATGAAGGCAAAAATATGCAGCATTTTTATAAAACCTGTTGCAACTGAATTCAGCTAAATCACCACATAAACCTTGTTTTTGTTCGCGCAGTGAGATGGGTTAATATAACCACTGCTGTAGGGAAAAAGATCATATATAGAATGGCCATATATATATATAGAGCGACCTTTTTTATGAATTTGTTTGTTTCGTGCTAAATTGTACATACTGTACTCCTGCATCCTGCATGCTTTGTTCTTTTGTGCATCTGCATGTCTTCCTGTTCTTCCATCAAGAGTCTATAAATACAATGTAAGCATAATTATATGTGATATAAGAGAAACAAATGAATTAGAATGAGATAGCACAGTATAAGTGCAGTCTGTAATTAAGCGTTGATAATATCAGTACTGTACTGTAGGTCACCTGAAACACATGCCAGACAATG